CACTGCCATATCTTTCACTGTTTCGGCCCTAGAGATGGAATGTTGAAAACAATGGGAAAAAGTCAAGTTTTTGGACTGTTTGACAAACAATATAGTCTAAGAACTGCACTGGTTCATTTTTTTGTATTTTTCTTAATCAAAGCAGAAGGGTGGGGTGGTGTAGTCACGGTGTTTGCCCCGTTACAGTCTTTTGTCATGTCAAAGGAGCAAATCTCTAGGGCCTCAGACCCACCGCCGGAGGTTAGTTAACTCAAATATTATGCAAAGTGATTTACCGGTCACATTATTTATTTGATTTATGCTCTTCAGTGAATCGCGAGCCTGAAATGGTTGGGCCGCAGGCCTGACCATCGCCGCCGGCAGGCCAAGAAGGCCCGGCCCCTGCCGAACGGAGTTGCTGGCGCAGCGAAGTTGAGCTGGCAACTGCGTTTAGCGGAAGGGCGGGCCTGCTTGTTTATTTAGAATGGCCTACTCTCCGCAGGATGTGTCCATTTTTTACAGCTTCTCTCTATGGTTATTGCCAACACAGGAGGTACAGCTCGCTGTTACCAAAACTTTCTTACAAAAAGAACACAGAGGCTAGAGTGGCCCTCGTGTTTGTATTGTGACAGAGCAGTAATGCCAGTTGCTGCACTTGTGGCGGTGGGTAAGGGACGCGTACTTTGGCTGTACAGTAGAAAGCAAGTAGTATAAATAGGAGGCGGCGTCTCATCGAACATGTCAGCAGGCATCGAGGTATTCATCATGAACGGAGTAGCTGTAACTCTTGCCCTTGCGGGGGTAATCGCTTTTCAGGTGAGGAGCTGTGACCATTTTTGAGGCAATTGTTTCGCCAAGTGCTTTTCAAGTCTCTGACCATTTCAAAATTGCCTTTGCAAACAATAACACTTGTAAAGCAAGTATTTCAGTTTGCTTTTTAATTGATCTCACGGTTGAAATACTTGTAACAAATATTCGCAACAGAAAATGGTGTCTAGTTTTACGGGAAAGTTGGGTACATTTTGGGACGGGGCCGAATTTCTGTTCCAGTGCAATAGAGTAGATCGAAAATCTGAGATTGCAAAGGCGTTTTTATGTGGAATAATGATTAAATGTATGAGAAGAAAATCTACAAGGTCCATTTTTGCTCCCTATTGTAGCCTCGAAAGGGTCCTGAAGCCAGCCAGGTGTATCGCTTATGGATGGTCTAGGAAATGCTGTCTCTTAAAAGTTGCGAAAGATTTCTAGAAAGTTGTTCTACGCTGTGCGATATCGTCTTCAGTTCCGACGATTAATCCGAAATAGACGCGAAATAGTCGGTGAAATAGTCGCGAAGTACCCCTAAAATCCTCCGAAATACCACGAAATACCCTGAAATAATCCGAATTAGGCGAGAAATAACCGAAATTGCAGGAGATATACCACGAAATAGACCGTACGCTAAAAACCCAAAGTGATTTCCCCCTCGGAAATGACATCAAATAAATGGAGCATGTAATTTTTCTGTTCGCTGGGTTAACGACAAATATGTCGTATCATGGCAGTAATTTCATCACACAACAGCAGGTCAGTCTTTACTATGCATTCTTGGTCGTTGAGGAACACAATATTGGCTGTTTATGTAAACGCTTCGCTGTTCATTTAACTAACTACTGAATTGTTAATTTACCACAACAATTGCGAGGGACAGAAATTGGCGTGGAATTGATAATGTTCAAACACAAAAAAAAAAAAACTAAACTAAAATAAAGCAAAATAATTATGACGAACCTCTTTTTCTACTTGTAGGTAGCCCCGGCATTGTCAAGCAATGGCTTTAAAGTTTCTGGTAAGTACACTTCATAAACATATCTAAGCAAGTTTTGCCAAAGTATTTATTTCCCTTGTTTTGTATAATACAATAATATAATAATATTCTGAAGATTACCGACAAGTTCTGCTGTTTTACGAAAGTAAAATTTCATAAGAGAGAGGAGGAGCTTAGTCAACCCGTAAGTGACAGTGTTTCGTGAGATATCGCGTAGCCTTGTTACGCGAGACGTTGTCTGGCGTAGATATAGCTAGTTAGTGCACGGTCTCCTTCGAGAAACAACGCTATCTTTGGGATAGTTACAAAAACGACTCGTTAAGGGGCCATTCTAGCGCGCCCAACATAGTCGTGTTTTGCGTGGTTAATGTTAGAGAACCCATAGTTTCTAGAACAAAACCAAGTATACCGTTTAGTAGCGCATACATTTTACGGTAAAACGTAATGTGTATGGTATCGGTACACTGACCCGAAGCTGGGCTACCACTTGTTCAAAACAGCACTGTAGCATGGCACAGTGGGCTGGAATCCAAAATTAGCGGACATAAATCACAATAGATACCGTGTGCATTGCATGTACAGTCACTGTCCCTAAATTCGGACGGTTCGGGGGGAAAAACGCGGGTGACATTTATAATATTTGAAACATGAAAAATCGCTGGGGGTTCTAGAATCCTCACGTCGAGACGCACCTACCACTCTGCGAAAATACTTTTTCGCGCTAACGGTGTAGGGGTGAGGGCTGCTTGAATCGTGTCCGTATTTAGGTTCCAATCCGTCCTAAATTCGGACAGCTTTGAAACACTATGAAAACAGAAATTTTTGGGGGGGTATAGAAACTTCATGAAAAATTTGACCTTGCCCTACCGTCCAACTTTTCTTATCTGGTATAGTTTATTCACCAGAACTGCTTAAAGATCGCTTTTAACGTGCCCTAAATTCGGACAGTAGTCACTTTTGCATGTAAAAGCCTATGTCCGAATTTAGGGCGCATTGCAAAAAACGCTTCCCGAAACTAAACCATGCGACGAAAAATCAAAAACTTTGTGTCATATTGTAGATAAAAGTACCAAGTTTAACATATGTTGTGGTTAGGATAACCCTTGCTTACACTGTTCGGAGCCCCAAATTCTTGCAAGACACATTTAAAAACGCCTCTTTTGGGGGGCCAAAAATACAAATTTCAGGAATTTCTGGAGGAAGCAATATCACTCACACATTTATTTTTTTGGCAGAAATGGAGACTTGGTGGTCTTACCTTTCCATCAAACCCTTTAAAGTTAAATTTTGTCAACGCATTATGGATTTGGAGGCGACAATGGTGAAATAAGGCACAATATCCGAATTTAGGGCGCAAGTCCGAATTTAGGAACAATAACTGTACTATATCAGTGTGTGATGGGGGGGTTTTTCGGGTGCGCTGATCCCATTCTTCCAAGATTTTGAACTGTGACGTGGCGGATCCAGGTCAAAAGGGGGTTAGTTTTGAAAATCTAACGCCATTCAATTACAAATTTGGTAGATGGGCTGATTTTTTCAGATTTTTTCCTGTTTTACTGATTTTTTTTGATTTTTTTCAGATTTTTCCCTACACTGGAAACGCAAGTGTGTGAATATCCATTCGTACACTTAAGGGGGTAAACGTGTGAATTTTCTACGAAATATTCACACCTTTACCCCTTAAGTATACGAATGGATATTCACACACCTACAAGTGAGCGACATTCACACACTTGTGTTTCCAGTGTATTTTTCTGATATTTTTCTGTTTTTTTTTTTTGTTTTTGTTTTCTTAAGAAATTTGAAATTGGTTGTTGCTGGATGTTTTTACGATTCTGCATGATTTATTTTAGAAGTTTTGATTGGCTGAGCGATAGCGAAGCCTATTACTCCAGTGATGATCAAAAAGTTTCGCGTCT